GCCCCCCCGCCCCGCCGCGAGCTGCCGGTGCCGCTTCCGGCCGGGCCTGCCAGGGGCGCTGGAGCCTCCCCCGGCGGGCGGTGCCGGTGTCAGTGTCAGTGCCGGTGTCAGTGGCGTTGCCGGTGTCAGTGTCGGTGCCGGCCTCCCTGGCTCGTCCTCTGGGGACTGCAGTAAGTGCCAGGATGGCCGAGAAGCGGGGGCTCTGGCCAGGCCCCAGCGGGCGGCCTTGTTCCTTCCTAGCCCTGCAGGGGGGCAGGGAGTCCCGGCGGCCTCGCTCCCCGGTCCTGTCCCGCCGGAGCTGGGGGCTGCCTTGTGGGACCCTCTGCTCACTTCGCATCCTCCTCCTGGGCGCAAGGAGGGCTCTCACAGGAGCTGCTCTGAGCCGTAAGCTTGTTTTGCCCCGGGGCTGCGTGTTTCCCTTCGCTTTGTTAAGGACTTCTGGGAGAAACTGAGGAACTACCGACCAAAGCCAGCGTGGGAGCTCAGAGGGCCTCCTCTCCTGCCCGAAGTGTTGGTAACAGTGGGCAGCCCCTTTTACCCCGTGTCGGGTTAATGGTATTTACTGTCTGCCAAGTGCTCTGTCTTCCTCCAGATCTGGCTGCTCAAGGGACGTGGTCCTGGCTTTTCCATCAGGGGAGTGTGATCCTCTTGATCCCCTTTCCCTCAGAAGGGGAAAACTAGTTCTACAGTAAGCAAGGAAGTGCTGCTAGGGGTACTAAGTGTTCTTATTTGCTAGATCGGGAGAAAAATGAAGTGGGAGTGAAGTGAAGCCTGGTCTGGTTGATGCAGCTGAAGCACAAGTGTAGTTTGCAAAACAGGAATTTGGCCACAGCACCTCATGTTCAGTGTGCTATCCTTTTGAACTGACTGGGGCTTGTCATTCTTGACCGTGTAGTCCTGTTGTAGCAGGGATAGAAAGAGATTGCTTCAGTAATCCTGTGATACAGTGCTAGATTGTGATATCTTGTTTCCCTCTTCTGAGTATCCTAAAGTGTTATAAAAAATATTTCTAAATTGTGTAAGAAAGATAATTCTAGGAACGTAGAAGTTTTGCTGAAGTGAGAGGTGAGACCAACTAATTAGGTGTGGGTCTGGATCCACTTCTATGCTAAAACTTCATAGGGTCTTACAGAAAAAACACCAATGACTGGAGTAAACAAAGAACTGGTTGGTTTGTGAGTATTTTTCTCCAAAACCAAACAGAGCAATACTCTGTAACTGAGAACTTAAAAGCAAAATGCCTGGTCTTACTGAAATGAGACAGTGAAAAGGGCTGCACAAGTGAATGTCACACGCGGTGGCTCTACAGGAATTTCAGGATCCTCTACTGGGACGTGTTCCCTTTTCCGTGGTCGTGCTGCCGCCTGGTGGATGTGTGAGGGTTTGCAGGAAACGTTCAGTGCTGTGGAAAGCTCCCGGTTTCTGGATGAGGAGCCGAATGATTAGCAATATAGATGCTCAGATGCAATTTTGCATCTTCAGGGTTGTCACACAAGATTTTGCACGTTGCTTTAAGAAGTAATTCATTTTTCTGAGCAAGATGTGAATTCGTGTTTTGTGGTTTGTTGGGGTTTTTTTGCTATTAAATTTAGAAACTTGAACAAATTAAATTACTTTTGTGTGCAACTTTTTGAAAGGAAAAATTAGTAGGGGGGTTGGACTAGATGATCTTTCGAGGTCCCTTCCAACCCCTAAGTTTCTGTGATTCTGTGTGAAATAGTCTTCTAACATGTTTTCATGAAGTACAGAACAAGTATCTTAGGAAAACCGTCATCTCAATTTAAACCTTTCTTTCACTGTTGTCCCCCAAACATGGAAATGTTAAGCATTAAGTTAATCAGCAAGATGCAAACAACCTAATTTAGTTTTCCTTCTGTGTCTGGGAACTGAATAGTTCATATTTATGGGATATTCTGAGAAAAGAAGAAAGGAACTTCCCTGGATTTCTGACATGCTGATCCTAGGCTTCATTTGGGAAAAACGTGGCTCGGTTGTTTTCCTGCTCTTTTGCTTGAGAAGGAGAAATGGGCACCCTGGATTTTGGTGTCCAAAAGGTGTGAATGAAATGAGGATAATGTTCTTGCCTGCTCTTTCAGAACAGCTTTTTGGTTTCTGTGTACTTGCTAGGTATCTGCAGTTCTATTGTGTATTCTATAGTACATGTTTAATCCTTTTGCTCATTAATATTAAATGTGTGATGCATCAAACATCTGTATAGATAGACTTGTAGATTAGGGATGAATCTCACTTGATCACTTACATGTTGGTTCCTGTTATGAAATCCAGCAATTTGAAATGCTTAATGTCTAGGATTGATTATGTAAGGCATTATCTCATAGGTGTTATTTTTCGGAACAAAAATAGAAGCATTGGAAATTCAGTATCATTGGCAGAAAATTTTTAATTTTAAGCTTTGATTAAAAAAAAAATAAATTGGGTTTATGTTTGAAAGAATAAAGCTAGAACATCACCTGGTTTCCCTAGTAAAGATGAACTACACAGAACATGGTACTGGAACGAGACAATTTCTTGTGTTATTATTATTTTTATCCTGAAGGAGAGCATGGATTTAGAAAGTGGTTAAGGAAGTTGAAAGATCCATCAACTCTATTCATGTCCCCTACCTTCAAGGTTAATAATTTATAGAAATTTGCATTTAGTTGTTAGGGTATTTCAGCCCAGCCATTTAGATATGTATGCAGTGTAATTTTTAACAAGGAAGGAAAAACTGTGCAGAATTCAAATCTCTCATAAAACACATTAAAGGGCAGACCATTTTTGTGCAAGCCAATGAAATATGTCAGTGCCTTTTTGTTACGTGTTCACCTAAATACTTCTCTCCAAATAGTCACTTCAGATATTAATGTTTGCTTAGCATTTTGCAGTCCATTTTCCTCCTAGAGCAGTTCCTGTATTTTCTTAAGATTGTTCTTCTACTTTACTGCTAATATCTCTCCTACTAAAATTGCTTGTTTACTTTGACATGCTTTATCTAGCATTTCTGTTAGCAGTTTTCTCAGAGCAATTTGTATTGCTTATTCCCAGTCTTTTTATGTGATTCTCCCCCCCCCCTCTCCTTGTATTTTTTCTTACTTAGATAAAATTCTGTCCATGTGCACTTAAATTCTGGTAAGATGGAAAACGATAGCTCGTTCCTGTCCTTTTTTAATGTTTTTGGTACTCCTGAAAATCTTCTATCTGTCAGTCATTCCCCTTCAGCAAAAAGCCTTGTCAGATCATTACAGATCACTGTCTAACCTGACAGTCCTAAACATAATATTGAGCTTTGAAAACACTGTTCAGTCTTCAAATTCAAAAGTACTGAAAGGCTCCAGGTATGCCTTCCATGACCACTCTAGGATGTTTTGTTACTTTAATCTGTCATAACTTACATGAACTGAGTACCATATCTTGTATCTGAACTTGAACAATTTTAATATTGAATGTTACTTGAAAATTAATTTCAGCAGCACCACTCTGTGAACTGCTATGACAGTGACAACCTCTGATTTGTAGCATCAATCCTGCAAGAGATGCCATTGGAAAATTCATTTGAGTTGTTTGAAGGCTTTTAATTGATGAAGTACACTGATATCTATCTATTTGTGGCATTGATATCTTGATATCATCTTTTATCCACTTTATTTGAGAATAATTTTGTAAACAATGGCAATGATTACTAATCTTAGTTTAGGAAGAATGAATCTTTCCCTGAGATGCTCCCCATGCTTTTCTGGCCTGTGCTGATGTGCAT